TGGCATGGTTGGCTGTCTTTGGGAAGCTCTCCAGCCTCAGCTTGGCACGGATGGCCGTCTTTGGGAAGCTCTGCACTGGCAGCTGCTGCTGTCTCAGCCTGGACTTCCACTGAAGGCTCTGGAGTTGTCGGCTGACGCCGGCACACAAGAAGAGGGAACTGGGCTTCAGTCACCTCCGCATCAATGGTAAGGTTGTGATTGATGGCAAAAGACTTCGACATGCCAAGTGCCATATACTGGTCAGGGTCCCTGCCCAACATGAATGCCTTCAGATGCACGGGCCACTCTGAAAAGTAAACATGTGCGAAATCGACTTTCTCCTTTGGTCCCTCCTTTGATCCCTCCTGACAGATCTCAGCCGCTTTCGAAGGATCTTCCTGAGCCTTCTCAGCCGCTTGTGAACACCCCTTGTCGCCCTCAAGGTCAATGACACTGTCCCCATCGTCCAGACTCATGACTTGTGTCTCCAAGTTGTCAGGGCCTGTGTGGAAAACTCTGCAGAGGAAGCTTATCAGTAATTGAATGATATGGATCGATGTCTTGTTATATATTTCTTTTTGCAACTTAGTGGCATGGACAGGGGACCCCGGAAGAAGATAGCTGCTTCTGTTGCAGTTGCAGCCCTTTCAAGAGCTTTAGCTGGTTCGTGAGGATCTGAAGCTGCTGCAGTTGATTCTTTCGGGTCTCCTCGAGTTTCTGTGGTGTAGTTTCGGGCACCGTAGGGCCTCACACGAAAACAAAGCCAAAATATGTACACTTAGCGTTTCGTCGCATGCTGACACACCATATTGCACACCCTTGCCTCTTGAAGGGGGTGTGACTTCCTGAGCTGCCTTTGCAGGCAGAGGCGTGGGCTCTGGATTTGCTGGCTCTGCTGCGGGTGCATCAGCAGACTGCGGTGGACTTGTCAAGTCTCCGCTTGGAGCCTTGGATCCAACAGAAACTAGATCTTGGGACATGGGAGTGACCAAACCCCAACAGGTTCGTTTTGTTAAACCACCAAGTGGTGCGAGAAACTTCCTGCAAGCTCTTGAAAGTAGAGCCCTCCGGGTGAGTAGACACAGAAGGATCGGCGGAAACAGGATGGTCTTCACGAACTTGGGCATCCTCCAAACCTGTAGGCAAACGAAGGTGTTCGGCAAAACTCAAATTAATATGTGTGAGCACCTCGAATCAAACCCTTGCACACATTCCCATAAATTTATGTATATAAACGAGAAACAAGGGTCATCACAATCTTCACATTCTGACTCAGCTTCTTCATCCTCTTGGAAATCTTCTTCCTCCACAACCTGCAAATCCTCTTCACTTCGGGGAGGGGATCCATAGGTAGTGAGGTCCACACCCGTATCAGCCATGAGCTCTCTCACTGCCAACTCTCTTGGCAAGTGTGGCCGCCGCACGATGTTGTTATACTCCGTGAGGCAACGCCGCAAATACCAGGCTTGAGTATGGGCAATAGAACCTGGATGAGATGAAGGGTGCCCGTGTACATTGTATATATAGATGTATACCTACATACAGTTACATACATGTCATATCTAACAACCATTGCAAGTGGGGCACTGGAGATTTCCAATTTCATATGCTCATAGAGCGATTGGATGTGGAGCTGAAGCACATCCACTGAGACCCTTGACCCCAAATGGTTGATGACACACGTAAGCACGTATCTGTTGTTTACCAAAGCATCTCTGGTGATCGTTTTGCCGGAGATCTTCACCTCAGCGGAAGCTGCCGGAGAAAGACTTGCTCACCAATTTGTTCATGAATTTGATAGGACACCGTTCTGAGACCATTCTAAAAGAATGAACATCCTCCATCGTTTATAAAATCAAAGTGGCTAGCTCGTGTTGCCTGGCACCACGACGGCAGGACTCATTACCTTCCCAAGCTCTAGCAAGATCGGTCGTCATGCTATCGAGGCGTTATGGAGGTAGTCCTAACTGATCTGATGAGCCAAAACCCTCATCACACCAGAAAAAATGGTGACACGCATCGCATACGCACGTTCAGAGCTGCCAAAGAAGTAGGGGATGGGCACCACTTCGGTTTCAGCTGCCTTGCCTTGGTTTGGGATGGCTCGGGCAGCTTTCCACACATATATGAAAATGTAAACCCTTTTTTGCTGTCGAGCTGCTCACAGATTGGTGACTGCAAGCCCAGGAAAATGATTGTAGCCGCCGTTTGCGCACACAAATCGTGAGGAAAGGCGGCTGCAATCATTTTCCTGGGCTTGCAGTCACCAATCTGTGAGCAGCTCGACAGCAAAATGATTGCAGCCGCCTTTCCTCACGATTTGTGTGCGCAAACGGCGGCTACTTGGTAGATCATGTACGAGTTGAAATGAGCAGGCACGTGCATGGCAGAAGTTCATAATGATAAATGACTTGGCCACATCCATATATGAGATTCTTGCAGCCAAGTGTCGGGCTAGAGGAAATGTGCATCAAAGCTGTCAAACCATCAACGTTGGCCAGCTAAGGTTCCAAGTGCAGCAGCTGCGATGATGCTGCCATGATGCTGATGAAAAGGGAATGCCCATGGTGTCTACTGAGTCTACTGATGAGATATATATATGATTATGGCAAACATGATCTTCTCCAAAAAACCCTTTGGATTTCACCAACATGAGCCCTGAGGCTGCATCGGCCGCTTTGGGTTTTTTGGTTCACTGAGTGCTACCAAAGTTCAGAAAACCACAGAAATCTAGTAAATTTAGTAAAGATAGGCGTTTGGCGCAGAAAGCCATACGAAAAGTATGAAATCTACATCAATGATGAGAACTACTAGGAATTTCTCATCGAAGGAATGTCCAGGTATATATATTACGGTATATATATGCAGTATATAAACCACGATACCACAAACTGAAACTGGCCGTGCCAGTGAACACTCTGGGGAATCCTTTGTTACTAGTAGCTTCTTGTTCCTAGTCGTATATTTTTACTTTTCGGGAAAGGCATCTCGACTGCCGATCCTATGTTGGAGCACTGTTGGAATACAGTCCATGGAGGTCTTTTAATCTTTGCACTGTCTCGGAGAAGGGGTGTTGACTTGTTCACACGAACTTCAGAATCTGGTTACAGTGGTTTCAGAGATTCAATTGCACAAACCCCCAAGCGTTTGGTGGTTTAGTAGTGGACCCCCCGTCTGTTCAAGACCTCTTGGGGTACCAGTGCCAAAACACCTTGATTCCACTCTCCCCCGCAAAGGACCACATGGACCCCCTGGTAACCACGTCGGGTGGGTCTTCGCAACCCCTCTGGTTGAAACCACGGGGCTTTTCCTTCTCACCCAGACGCTCCGTTCACAGCCCTTGGTCCCTCAAAACCTAGGGGGTTGAGACCCCAGACCTCTCCATATGAGGGCCCAGGGTCGCGTCTGGGCAGGTTCCATGTGCGTTTGAAACCGCGGGGTTCTCGTCGGGCTCTCTTTCGGCCCACAGAGTCTGGCCCGGACGCGGCCCGAAGCAAATGACATGAAAACGCACTGGGATACCATCTCACACGGACGGGACCGGTGGATTCATGCTTGCTTTTTGGCAGATGTCAGTGGGACCGGTGGATCCCAAGTGAAGGTTGAACAGAAAAAGATCTGAAACCACCACCCAGTAAGATGTTCACTCCGCAAAAAGGATCCAAAATGGAGGAAAAAAGGAGGTGACCAAAGGTCCTCCAGGCGCGGTACAGGACCTGTCTGTTTCAGTCTTTCGATCGAATGACTCATGCTGGAGGTGGACGGCATGGCCGTTGCGAGGTGTGACGAGGTGGTTTTCAACTCAGGCCATTGACCCCTTGTAAACCCTAGGGCTCCAACCATCTCCTCAGAAGGTGGTTGGACCCCCCAAACCCACCCCAACCATCTTCTCCATTGACCCGTAAAAACCCACCCCACTTGGTAGGTCCAAAGGATCGCCAGTCCCAAGACATGGAGTGGACATGGGTCTGGTGTGGTCGGATAGAACCGAACTCTCTTGAGACATTTCGGGAAAAACTGAAGATGTTGAGAGTGTCGGCCCCGGTGTTCAAGGAAATTCTTCTCAAGATTGGACCTCAAAGCAGGTCACCAAATGACGACGAGGTCCGCACGACGACCGGATGGCCAAAATACCAAGGCATCGACTGAAGGGTGTGAGCTCTATCTATCCGGTGTCTTTGATGGTGTGTTTTTTTGTGGTTCGCGTGCCCATCTCCTCCTCACCGCGCGTTCAACTACCACACGTCGACACAACGACGTCTCTCCCTCCCCGTCTCGGTCTTCCGTGCGCTTGCGGTTCAAGCGACTTGAGCAAGACATTGTTGGAGGTTAAGTCACCATGGATCACATCCATCGAATGCAAATATCCCGTGCCCTGTGAGGACCGAAGGACGGATTCTCGGATGGACCAGGGATCACGGATGAGGTCGCCTTTTCGGAAGGGCTGAGGGTGTTTGTCACGCGGTAGGCAGTTGCGCTTGTGCACCTGCCCGTTTTTCCAGGTGCGGGTCTAAGTCCTCTGCCCCTACCTCCCTGAGCCCGGTAGAAGGGAACAAAAGATCTCAAATGGGATCTGAAGCCCAGACACGACTAATGGGAGTGCCATAGGACTGCCGATCACCCCTGGCCGTTTCTCGGCAGTCCGTCCTGGCAGTCCCAGCTGGTCGTGTGGAAGGGGTCCCAACAGGGAGTGGACCAAAAATGCCAGGAGTTCCATCTCCCAGAGACTCCATGGGACATGCCATATATGCCGCCCCATTGACCCCCAAAACGACCCCAACTGATCGGCAGTCCTATGACAGTCCCATGGAGTGTTTGGGATATGAGTTGGGTGCTTCGGCTCATCCCCTGAATCCAAACCGCCGGTTTGGGGCCGTCACACGCCCGGCGCCCCGGCGCCCCGAGTTCCGGAGCTTCTCGGAACGTCACATGGAACGTGGACCCGTTTCCTTTTTGGGAAGGCCATTGGACTCTACCAAACAGGGGGGGTCCACTTCCATGTGACGTTTGCAGCCGTCAGCAGCCGTTTTTCGCCAGCAGCTACTTGAGTCCCGGCACGACATGTCGACATGCAATTGGGTCACTTGGACTGTCACTGGGTGGGTTTTGGAAGTAAACCAATCCCAACGCGTCCACTTCAAAGCCTCCGGGATTGGAATCAAACGTGTGAGCATCGGAAACATTAATAGTTCTCGCTTCCAACAGACAAATGTTCATTGCATGAGAGCAACCGACACAAATTCGTTGCTTGATTTGTTAATTAATAAACACCATTAGGCTATACCCTAGAAGTCCAAAGACTATATTTTGACCGACTGAAGTAAAGGAAATTCCTTTTTGGGTCACCTAAAGACCATTCTTTTTATAGTCTTTAACTCTCAGGGTATACAAATTGATTAGGTCGTGTGAGCTTCACCAGCCAGGCATGTCAGGCATCGCACAGCGGATTAAACGCGTTCAACGCCAGCCTTGCAAACATCCAAAAGCATCGTCTTTATAATCGCAGCGTCCTCGCCAAAGCAAGCGGCCAAAAATGGAAAGTGAGTAAACATTGAAAATTAAATATTGAAAATAAGGATTTACATTGTTCCAATAAGCAAGTGGGGCCTGACACAAGAACATGTATATATACATTACACGGTGCACACTAGGTACAAATTACACAAGCACAGGTCCCTATATACCCACGTGTGGTGTTCACTTGGGATTTTATCCTATATAAATGTTGACAGCTGAGGATGTTGAGGCACCTGCTCAAAAATGTCGAAAGGTTTAGCAGTTCAACCACCCATGCGTGACCATCCGGGTGGCGTATCTATACTATAGTACATCAGCTTGTGACCTGCTTCCTCCGGTTGAAGACTCGGCCAATATGCGCTTCGGCATGGAGGTGCCTATGGCAGGGATGATCGTTTTCGCGGTCTTCACCCTCGTCCTTTCGAGCTCGGTGGCACACTGCACACGGCTACGGCTCGGTGGAACTGGTGAACCCCATCACATCCCCAGAATCGCAGAGTTGCAAACGAAACCGGTGAGACAAACAGAATCCCTAGACTTCCAAGACCATTAAAGAAATGGTTGACCTGGTTTTTGTAGTGTAACATCCTTAGTTGATTCGGTAAAGCCTATTAAATTAATGGTTGTTGGAAGCCTAGGGGAATCATACAAACCATTACAAACCTCTCCTCCAAAAAAAGGTCACATCCCCGGATTTGGATGACCGGGAGCACCAGAACAGGCCCTGACAAATCACATCGCGCCAAAGCCGTCGTCCAAGTCTCCCGTTGGCCGGAGCTCGTGGTCACGTAATTGGAAAAGGTACCCAGATCACACCACTCCTGCCAAGACGATCTGATTTCCAGGTGGTTCCGGCAGTTGACTTCCAGCTTCACGTGGTGATTTGCAGCTCCAAGGACTGAAAAGGGCTGTGAATTCGCAAGAAACAACAGCCATCGAAACAGCTCGCATACCGGATCGGCCGGATCGTGTTCGCGCCTCCGGAACGAATCTACGAAGAAACTGATCCCAAAGCTAGGACTGACATCAAGTGACTCATTTCTCCACAGGTGCTCAAAGAAACATGTTTCTTGGAGCGTGTCCGTTCGAGATAGCGAGAACAAGCGAGAAACAAACACACGAGACGCGGTTGGCTGGCGCGGCAATCGGGTGATCCTGAACAATGACCAGCCTCAGCGTGGTGGTCTCAAACAACCCGAGAACGCTGTTTGTTGGTGTCCCTATGGATCCACTGCCAGCGTCTCAGAAGGTAATTGGGTCCCCCAAGCCTACATAAATAGTCTCCAATCACCGTACCTGAGGTTCGGTATGTGGATCCATAGGGAATAGGGTGTGTGTGTGTGCGCTTATCCGTAAACAATATTGTTTGAGACTTCTTCGCGGAGGTTTACAACAGCCGATCAAACGCATGGTATCCAAATGGGGGGATTGGTCCAGCCCATCGTCCACAAATCCTTCAACCTCTGAGATCGGCATCGCCGGCCACTGAGATGAACGACCCTTCAGTCCACCCCAGAGGGCCCTTCAGTCAGTGACCTCATCAAGTGTCCTCAGGGGCACTGACTGAAGGGTCCGTTGACTGAAGACACTTGCCGCTTCAAGTGTCCGGATGAAGACATCCGCATTGCTCGAGCGAGCGAGCTTGCTTGGCGCAGAATGCGCTGGTGGGGTCGAATGTAGACTCTGATATCCCTCCATATGATGAGGGTTATCCAATTCAAACGGGGGGATGATCGATCAAGAGTCAACATTAGGTAGCTTTGGAGGTTGAGCAGGTGTCAAACTCTGAATGGAAGTGAGATGAACAATAATGAAGTTGACAAACATGTCAAACATGTCTGTTGAACATCATCCTTTTCAGAAATGGTCTCTCTTGAGAAC